AATGTTATATTTTCTCATAGTCCTCCTTTTTGCTTTCTCAAGTGAAGTTGCAAAAGCCTTGAATGACCAGGTGTTCTTTTCAGAAGAGCTGGGTTTCAATGAACCTTTCCTGAGGAGTGTGCCTCCTGTTTCTTTAGAAAAGTATTTTCTACACAAAAACCAGCTGTCTACTGAGTAAAGTGAAAGTGGGTGCTCTGCTACCATTTTTTTTTCTGTTTCATGCTGCTTTTGACTAAAGTAAGCAAAATGTGAGTTTAGTTAATGGTAGCAATCCTGCTGTTAATTTCTGAGGTGAAGTTCTTAAATACATGTATTTGCAAAAGATAAAATTTGGGCATGGAAGTAATTATTTTTCTGTTTTGGACACTTGCTAATGAATGCAGGCAAGGATACTCTGATTTATTAGCATTTAGCATAAAGTTGGAAAAGACAACTGTGCTCAGAGAAAACTGGGTTCTAAGTTCACTTTCCCCTTACATACTCAAGCTGAATCTTTACAAAATCATTAATTTAGTGGCACCTTAATTTTACTCATCTTTAACCTGGGAAAAATACCTATCATACTTACCTTAACTTTGTTTTAAAATGCATTAAGGTGACTTAAAAGTAAATAGCACTATGCACATGCAAAGGAATGTTACCTTTTAAAAATTTTATGTATTGAAAACGAAGGTTCTTTCCTCACGGAACACAATCAGAAACCACAGGTCTTGGAATGGAAGAAATGTCCCCATTCATTGGTTGATTCTTGAATGTGCCCTGACCGGGCATCGAACTGTCAACATTGGAATATCAGGATGACGTTCCAAACAACTGAGCTACCCAGCCAGGGCTTGCAAAGGAATTATATTAAACATCAACATTTCATTATCCAAAGGTACATTGCTTACATTTTGGCTCCTCCAGACATATTTTTATTTACATTTATTGATACTTAAATTTGGCTTGGGTTAATCTCCTTTGGCTCTCTTTTGAGGGAAGAAAGGTCTTAAACTTGGTTTAGTAGAAGATAGTCCCTAGAATATGAAAGTCTCCGATATGAAATCTGAAATCCAGATTATATTCCAAATAAACATACTTTTAAAATTAACCCTGTTTCTGTTCCCTTCCAATAATATACATATGTAAGAGTTGATAATACTAGCATTTGTAAATTAAGTAAGTTTTCTCCTGCCCTTTACATTCATGTGTGATCACTGAACCAGACAAGTACAAGAATTTTCTTTACCACATTTTACTTGTAGTTTTTCTATTATTATTTCTCTTCTTGGTTAAATTCATTTTCCTCTCTTTCTCCTCTCCCAATATATAACTAACCAAGGATAAATGGGAATTTACTGTCTTCACAGACTAGGTTGAATTTTATTCTCTCCATTTTCTCCCTGCTCTGGGTAAAATCTCACTACACTCAATTCTTTAATTCTGTGTAACCTGTTATGGAAGAATCCCCTTTAGTGCAGAAGCTACTGAAGCACTCTGAATTAAGTTTGATTTAAAGCTTCGTTTATAGGGTAGCCACAGCCTCTGCCAGGAGTGAAGCAGAAAACTGATCCTGTGTCTCCAGACCAGTCCCTTGCTTCTTAATTTCTAATATGGTTTCCAAAATAAGCTCTTTACAGGCTGCAGAAAGAATCTGGAGAGAGGATTTGAAAAATGATCCTTCATCTGTCTATTAATATAAATGAGGTGTCTTAATTACCAGCTCTTGAAACTCTAGGGGTGACTTGGTTTTGGGGAGTAAAAGAGCAAGTTAGTGTTTATGTCTATAAATCAATCTTCAGGGCAGTCACAATTTCCTAGCAAATATTGATATATAACAAACTATCAATGATTCTTTGTCAATCCCCTAATAAATGCCTAGCTCTAGGCTATATATTTGGTGTAAGAGAAATATAAACATTAAAAGACCAGGTTAAAAAATATAAACAAAATGAGGTAAAACATGGTGATATAGTCATGCTTGAAATGGATTTCAAAGAAGGAAAAGACTATTACTGACTAAATTATCCGTAAAAGACACAAGAAGAGTTTGCCTAGACAAAAGGAAGAAGGTAGAATATTTTAGGAGGTAACATAGAAGTATGTCATTGCAGAATGTGTGAAAGAGACACACTGACTGAGGAGACTGGTTTCAGAATAAAGTATACAAATTAGGGGATCTTGGATATACGTCAAATAATTTTAGAAATATGTCATACGAAGGATTAACAGTGAAAGAAAGATATGAAAAAGTGAACACCGGCAAAATTAAAAAAAATAAATTCAGGTGACAGAAATCACTACCTCAAAAATTGATTTAGTTTATTTAATTTTAAGTAATACTTGGAAAAGTTTGGAAGTTGTCACTCAAAGTTTCAACAAGTAAAAAACTGAACAAAACGAAAATCTACAACTCTGGTTAGATCCAACAGAGAGTTTAGGTCACATGACAAACTACTAACCCCAAAATTTGAGACAGAAGCAAATGCTGACAATCACAGTGTAGTGGAGCAGAAACCCAGGATCAGTAGCCAGTAGCAAGTAGAACACTTAAACTGTAATCGATGAGTCAACATAGACTTAGTGTGGACTAACTTAAGAGTTAAAACCCCCATAGGATTTAATTTTAAAGATTCCCCACACTTTTGTGAATTTTGCTTCAGGCTCTCAGGGTAAAGAGCAGAGAAATGATCCCTTATGCTTCTGGAAGGGGAAGGGGAAAAGCAACTGTCTTGAACTAAGTCCAGAGTAGTCTGTTTTTAACAAAGCTCTGCCCTTACATCAGTACTGTTTTATTTTTGTGGTGTGTTTAAACAAAGGACATTCTGTATTTACATTCTGTACTGACAGGCCAAATTTGTGTCAATCATTTTTTTAGACTAATGGTCATTTTTGGAGAAAAATTAATTATTAATGTAGTTACGTTGTGGCATATAATTTTATTGCCTTATAATACATTTTTAAATATTTGATCATTTTCAGTTGACCAGTATAGGGTGATTGATTTGAAAAATGTCTATTTTGTCATAATTTTAAAATAGAAATATCTTTATTATTTTAAATTAAACATATTCCTATTATAACTACTACTAGAGGCCCAGTGCACAAAAATTTGTGCACTCGGGCGGGGGGGGGTCCCTCAGCCAGGCCTGTGCCCTCTCACAGTCTGGGACCCCTTGGGAGATAATGACCTGCTGGCTTAGGCCCGCTCCTGGGTGGCACAGGGCAGGCCCAAGC